CACAGTTTTTCCCTCTGTTTCCTCTGTTTCCTGGAACAGAGGAGTCGAGTGTCACCTGTGGCCACCGATCGATTTAACGCTGTCAGTGGCTCACGCTGTCTGTCTACCGTTGAACGATGCGATCATCAATGAATTTGATACGTAATTTTTAGGAAGCGGTCGTGGCCGCGAGGGACTGATTGAGCAACGAAAATTTCAGAATATTTAATCTCTCCGATGCGATCATCAATGAATTTGATACGATATTTAAGGAAGAGGTCGTGGCCGCGAGGGATTGAACAGCGAAAATTTCGGAATATTTAATCTCTTCGAATTAGTAAATGGAGCGATACCCTCTCGTCCGCGACGTTCAGTCGTTACCAGTAAAATATCTATTCTTTATGCCAGGACTCAGAGCAGAGCTAGACTGTACCCCAGAACGTATTCTGGTAACTATGACGCGAATAGTTGCCGGATACGGGACTTTAGGCTCAGATAAAAGCTGTCCCACTATACGCCATGTAGGCGCATGGGGGGAGAGGTGGTATAGCTCCTATTGATTCTTGACCTCGACGCTAGATGGGGGGCGAGTTGTCAGTATCACGCCCCCGGCCGTGCGTTACCCCCGGGGGAAAGGACCCGGGTACCCATTGTAGAAGAGGCTGGGTGGACCCCAGAACCGGTCTGGACGCAGAGGCTAGAGGAAAAATCCTCTGCCCCCATCGGAGATCGAACCCCGTTAATCCAGTGCCTAGGCAGTCACTGTTAGGCAAGACAAAGCGGATGTGGAAACCACCTTCCTTTTACCTGTCATTTGTCGGTTCGTCCATTCACATCCTTGAGTAATGCTGTAGCTCTTACTGATCGAGATTTTAGTAAATTATGTTTTTGCAAAGTGAAACACGGTCGTATTAGAGAGTGCCATGTACAGGAGATAGTATTACCCGGCTTTCAGAGAAATTGAATCCTGTTAAGGATTCGTAGGACGTTGGTATTGGATCTTATCCCTTACCAAGTAAATCCACCTCACACACTGTATTATTACGAGCCGTTTCAAACAAATCCGAGCACTTATCAGACTTCTTATTTTTTTAAAAAAAATATATATTATCAGTCACAATCAAAATGTATTTAACATTTCCCCTAAATGCGGCAACCTTCTCGATTTAATCGTATCAAAATGTGGTTATCGATTGAATTCCTTCAGCCTTCTGCTATGTCATAACTTTTACTTAAACGCGGCCCCTCAGAAAATCGTTTTCAAACGCATTCATTTCTTGTATTTCCTTCAGAATCGGAGATAAATTTAGGCTATAACTGGTATTAGTGTGGACTTAGGAGTGGCTGATCTGCGCAAGCGTCGAAGCAACTCACTGCTACCCTACTATAGCAGTGTCGCCACTGTGTTAAAATTAAATCCAGTGTTACAACTATACGTGATAAAATAAGATGGTAAAGTTGCGTCATATTGTGATATAATAAATATATATTAAATCTTGTCCGTCTAATCACAATAAATTCTTATTAAATATTAAAATATTACATGAGCATGAAAATATTCGATTTGCATTAGACCATCGAATATTTCGATAAAGAACATCATTTAATATTTTAAATATTTTAAATGTTAATTATTGTAATATTTTAATATTTAATAAGAATTTATTGTGATTAGACGGACAAGATTTAATATATACTTATACGTGATAAAATCTATAAAGATTCTTTGAGTGCGCTTCAAAATTCTCACGACGATCGAGATGACCGTGTTCGTCTTCTGAGTTGCAACACCGTGCGCTGTTATACGTTCATAATATTGTTTCGTCACGAAGATGAAGGCAGAATGTTCTTCAGGAATTTTGGTATCTACCTATCAGTCAGCACTGCGCTTGTACTGAGAAGACCGAATGTGAAGGTTAACTACCTTTTATAATCTCAATGTATTAATTGTAGCAATTTGCGACATATATAATTCATAAAGACTCTGAAGGATTAGGAGTCTTTTTAATAACCAACCTAACATCCCAGTAATACTTTTATGTAGGTATATTTTGGTAATTAATATTTTAAAAAAACAAAGAATTGGATGGAGATTATTTTTGTTGCAAAATGGTTTTATATTCTGAAATACGCTGAATATCTACCACGTACTGCAACGGGGAGAATTATTTTACACTACGTTACGCTGCTTGGCACTGTGGACCAGGGGAACACAATGGCGCTCCGGTATCTGTCTCTGCGGGATGGAATGTACATCCACGTATGTACGTGGAACAATGGCTCCGAAAATACACTCGTCAGACACGCGAAACAACGCGAGAGATATCAGAATCACTCTGCCACATTGATACATTTACTGTCAGCTCATAAAAATAAATCCTCTGCAAACTGATCTCTTCAGAGGACATTAAAATGCAAAGTGGGTCTGTTCCTTAGTTTGTAATACGAAACCTTTACTTAACCTGTCACCGTAATGGATGAATGGATGAACATGTAGATCGATTCTGAAGTCTGCGAGGGAACTATTTGTTCTGCTGGGGGAACTTATTGATCATTACAAAGACCTGTAACGAATTAATTCCGGGACCCGAAGGTCCAAAGCTACCGACACGAAAGGCCGCCATGTCACATGATCCTGAGCCGGTTCTATCCAACTATACCACCTACGTTGTGTCCGGGGGCGTATTCCAATCGCAATGTTGCTCAGCAGACTCCGGGCGGCTGGACTGGACTGGAAGGTCTATTGCTTATACGTAAGTTATTGTCTGAACCTATCGATCAAATTATTAGAAGATTAAGCGAATTTTGTATTGAGTAATTGGCTCGTTGTATGATTTATGGACCGCCTGCTTCAAGTACCATCAATGTTACACTATTTTTTATTTCTTCAGAGTAATCTTCTTGCGTAATCACGGTTTCGGTAGAGAGTAAAATTCATCGACTGATGGTCCAGATTATTCAAGCGTTCACCAATCGATGTATCGAACGTAACTTCAGATTTTCTCACAGTCGACAAATTGCCTGATGGAATCGTTTTCTACTCGTAGAAATAGCCTCTAGTTCGAGTCCTATCGCCACTACAAAATTCCCGTTAGCGAATAAACGCCCTCGTTATAATTTTAAGGCACTGTTTAACATTTCCATCAATGCTTTTAGCAAGGGACGATGCCTTGCGTTTTGGTTAGTCCTGGCTGGTTAGATAGGTGTGATTGTCTGGACATATGGCACGCAGAGGACACATAACAGTGTGAAGTCTGAATTATAGGTCCTGGTAGATATTCCCGATATGCCTCTCTGAGCCCGAAGTCTGACGCGTTCCACCAGGAGAGACATACAGACGATCAGTTTAATTTGTCCAAGGCTGGAAATGCGGTGAAGTTGAACACGAGGATCCTTTTGATGTAGAATATTCAGAGAAAATGATGGTCTCTCTCTCTGTGAGAGGTGCGTCTTCACGGAAGTTTTAATGTTGGCAGTAGAACTTCGCGACGTCTTGGAAAACTTTGTCGGGCGAACTTGCAGATGAGTATGGATATCACGTTCTCATGGCGACGAATATGAACATGGCTGTCTTCTCGGATGTTGCACCGTTTGGTCTGGTAAGACACTTCCGACGTTTCGGAGGTGTCAATTACCTCCATCAGCAGGGCGATTATCGTCCCGGGTAGTATTAGACTAGAACTAGGTCATTATGGAAGCGTAAGGGGTCTACCTGATATCTTTTGTGCCAATCTTAAGATTCTGTAATCGTATGATAAGCCTCCGCGTTTGTAATACATTACTATATTTACGTATATTAACTCTACACCAGTCGCTTCAGGGGTTAAGAAATCGTATGTGTTGTCACACTGGCAGGCGAACTGCGTGTTACAGCTGGTAACATTTGTTCATTATAGAACTATGATGTGGCCACTCCATACTTCACCTCTCGTTTTGAGGTAAAGACTAATTATATTTCTTAGCAAATGGGGAGCTTTGAAATCTTATTTTGTCCCATGACAACAGACAGTCGAAATGCGTATGTAAATATACATTTCTTTGTTGATCTCTTGTAGAATTAAAATATGTTCCTATATTTTTTTTTTGGAGGGGGGTAACTTTTGGAGCAGATGCAGGCTTTCATGTCGAACGTCTTGTGAGACCAAAGGGTTGCGCCATTTTACACCAGATGTCATGTTAAATGACTATGTACGATTTGAAAGATTTGTCTTTTGAAATTCCACAAATATAATTTAACTTTTATTCTCTACAGAAACCACCAAACGAGACAGGACGTCATTTTCCGATATTGTGTCATTTTAGTGTCTAATTGAATTAAGAGTTTTCAGTTATAATCCGAACGAAAATTTCATTGTGAAATCAGTGAGAAAACGTTCACCTGCAAGACCTATAAGGAAATGGGAGTTGAACATTTAAATGGATCTTCCAATGGCGGCCGTTAGTGTTGACGGCGTTGAAACTGAGTTTGTACTTCCAGAGACTGAGGTAACTGCATTTCTAAGTTTATTCTCAGTTCCCTTACGAAGAACAAGGCTCGTGCATAGACAGACAGAAATTTTTAAACTCGCAGAGAGAGAAGGGCCTAACTTCACGTCCTTACTTGAGCGAAACGCATAATTCTCACGTGTGGCAGACTTACTCTTGAATAGGTTACAAGGATCATGGGTAGGAAAGCTGCATTACTTTACCACGAAGAAGAAAGGACATTCATTTCTTGAAATAGCGGGCTACACACCGCAGGGTCTGAAGCATATTGATCTCAGAACACTTGCACGATTACAAGCCGACTGCAGGAGACGGGCGAACTGTCGATGTCGTATACGTGGAAGTAAGTGTAGCACTATCAGCGTGTCGCGAATCAGATAGTAATTTGATAATGTGACAAGTAACTCTTCGAAAATGTGTCAATTTATATGTGATGGAAACTGAAGTCGGCAAATACACGCAACTCGCTGTTAAATTTAAAAAAAAATTGTTATACTATTCTTTGTTTTAAAAATATCTGAAAAATAAATTACTCTTATATAACCAAATAACCCAATGGAGTTTAA